AGGTCTATCAAGTACTTGTACAGAGCTAACTAGTGATCAGTAACCATTCTTATTATACCTAATATTATGTGTTTATAGACTTGCCTGCCCTTTGAAAATGTGGAAAACATTTACCAATGGGTTAAACAACTTGGGTGCACATTTTATTCCATTCACTACCTACAGTATATCAATCACCATCATCTATTTTCAGACATAAATTTGATGAGATCATCTTTAATGTCACCTAAGTTCCTTTCTTGAAATTGCATCCTGAAATACAATTTAGTCATGGTAACATTGTTTGAAAATATCGAAAATGTTTTTTTTTTTTCATTGATTCTTTAAAAAATTGTTTAAAAACTTGATTTGATTTTCCTATCATTTTGCTTTGGGCCTTAGGGAAATTACATTTCTTGGCTCGGTAAAACATTTTGATAGTTAACGAAAACAGTGTCCCAGAAATCCATTTTATGTGTGCTGAAAGGCATTCCTTTCAATTACCCACTTTTTCTTAATACCATAAATCTGGTTTTGTAAATAGCACAAATTGGCAGATATATGCAATTGACCAATCTGTCTTAAAGTCATCTCAAATCATAAAAACTGCATGTAAAAGACATCAAAAACAGACTATATTCGTTTAACATGTGACTTGGTCAATCAATATTTCCTTAAATATGACAAGGGTTGTCTATTGTCAGTTTACGTGAAATCATCTACTAATCTACAAATCTGAGTGCATTTCTAGAAATCTGTAGAGCAAGATCAACAGTGGGTATCAAGGGCAATCTACCTTGGACTGTTCATATTACTTTCTTCCCCAGCAATATACCCGAGGCCTGTTTCACCAAAGATCTTTGAATACGTACCAAAATTTGGTCAACTCTGACTGGAGTTAAATCAAAATTAACACACTCACATGGAATACTTAAGTTTTGATTGGCAAATTGAGATTGTTTGTATAATTCCAACAAAAAGAAGATCAAAAGGAAAACAAAAGCAACCTAATGCCGACTTGCATGAGTGACCCCTCTATAAAGCCAGTCAATGTACAGCATAATCTTCCCTATGACATAGCCTTCCAAAATCAATAAGTTCTTGAAAATGAGCAAAATCAATTTTAAGGCAAATTAAAACAGATGTAACATGCAAGAATACATTATGCTTAACAACAAAGTCAGCACCAAATTTTAATTATGCTCAACACGTTGGGTATAATATGCTGAAAAAAAGAAAAAATGGCCCGATCATGCTGATTTTCAAACTCTTCTCATATTTTATGAATATTCACTTATCGTGTTATCATTGAAAGTGCATGGCGAGAGTAATGACAACAGGTGGTGTCAAATTTCAGTTTCTCTTACTCTAAATGAAAATCATAGCAATTTTTTGCATTTTAAGTATCAAGGTGGAGTGTTCTTTTACCATTTATGCAACAGTTTTTTTTTCTGTTGTAAACATGACATTTTCAAATGATATAATGCTGATTGTAAATCTTGCTATGTTTTGATACAAAACACTTGACCCCTTCTCCTTTAAACAAATGAAATGTCTCTAAATCCTCAGTGGCTTTACTTTGAACTTCTCCAGATCCTTGTTAAGTTTTATCTCACACCCCTGAGCCTTGAGGGAAATCTGAGAGGTCTGTTATTTGAATAAAGTCAATTGTGCATGGGCTTATGGAATATCAATAGAAATCTTGGCAGTCTGAATCATGCGTCAACCATAAAATCAATGATGGCTTATTAGGCTGATGTTTATAGTTTTCATAGCATTTTACAACATTACTTTGGCAATTAATGTTTAAAAGTTGCCAAATATAACTTTAAAGTGGAAGAGTATAGACCCATTTTGAAGGTAAAAGGGTATTAGACTAGCCCAAGATGCACAGTTCATCGATATAATGCTAAATATATAGAAGCAGAAGGGCATTTTGATTTAAAAAAAAAAAAAAAAAAAAAAAAAAACAGGTATTAGTCACCTATTCAATCAAATATATATCAATTAAGTATACCTGAACTTCTTGAACCCCTCTGAAAATTGTTGGAAACAAATTGCCAGAAACATGGAATTAACTTCCTTATCCCCTTAATTTCTACCATTTTTGAAAATTTCATACAAAATCTTAAGATAAACAAGACAGCAAAGCTGTCAAATGTACAGAAAAAAAGCAGGAAATAACAAAAAAGGCTACTGTCAATTCTGATGCAAAAGTACATTATGTTAAACTGCAAATTCAACATCAAATTTTAATTATGCTCAACAGGTAATACCAATGTAAGTAAAATGTGAAGCATAAGGCTTCAGGCCCATGGGAGTTCAAGTTCACATTTTGAAAATGTATAACTTCCAGAAAAAGAAGTCAATTAGACTGCTTTTCCAACTCAGGCTGCATTTTAGTCCTGTATTTCTTTTTTGAACGTTTGGCAATCATAAGTAACATGGTTTTCCCATAATGGTCATCATGGCAGCAGCACCCAAAATGATGCAATATTACATAATGGTTAACAGCATAATGACAATCAATTTTCAATAATAAAATATACGTATCATGGATTTTCAGAAAATGTGACTAGCATGGGTCTTCAAGCCTGTGGAACTTCAAAGTCACACCTTGAAAATGCCAATATGTGAAAAATTAAATTTTCACAAACAAACTGTTTAACTGGCAAAAATAATTTCCAAACAGATTGCATTGCCCACTGAAGCTGTATTTTAGTCCCATGTTTCTTTCCTGTAAGTTTGAAACAGTAAGTGACATGGTTTTTCTTAAATGGTCATCATGGGAGCAGTGCCCAAAATAGGGGTTTCTTCAAATTTTGATGCAATATTACATAACGTTTAACAGCATAATGACCATCAATTTTTCATAATAAAATATTAGTATCATGGATGTTCAGAAAATGTGACTAGCAAAGGTCTTCAGGCCCATGGAACTTCAAAGTCACAACATGAAAATGCCAAAATGTAAACAAGACAGCACTGTTCTGAAATGTTTTTTTCCCCCATTTTTAACAATTTTTAACATAAAACAAAATTAACAGTTTACTGCCATTTTTATATGATCAACTAAGAAAATTGATGAGATGGGAAAAATATCAATAGAGCAGTGTTAAATGTCCAATTTCTTCCATTCTGAGATTCTGAACATAGTGAATGATTGAATCTGACAAACTGCAATGATATGAGTTTATTTCCATTTTTGAAACTTTATTACACAATACACGATAACAAGTTTACCATCATTTTTACAAAATCAACTAACAATGTTGTAAAGATGCAGGAAATGTCAAACAAACACTTTTACGTATCTTATTAATTAAATAATGAAACTGTTAACATGCCTAAGAATTGAATCTGAGGAAATGTGAAAAAACAGCATAACTTCTAAAATAATGGCCCAATTATGCTGATTTTGAACTCATCCTGCGTTTTAGCAGGATTGACCACTCCTGTGAGTTTAATGACAATTGGCCTATCTGTTTTTCTTATATTGTGGTTACAGTGTTGCATATATGCTGAAAAGTGAAAAAAAAGCATAACTACTAAAATAGTAGCCCGATAATGCAGATTTTCGAACTTGACCTGCGTTTTAGTAAGATCGATTACTCCTGTGAGTTTCATGACAACAGGCCTATCGGTTTTCCTTGAAATGTGGTTACAGTGTTGCATATATGCTGAAAAGTGAAAAAACAACATAATTTCTACAATAATGGCCCGATCGTGCTGATTTTCGAACTTGACCTGCGTTTTATGAATATTCATCAGCTCTGTAAATATAAAGCCAAAAAGTAAAACTGCCTTCCACTTATCGTGTTTACAAGGAAAGTGCACGGCGACGGCGACGACAGACGCAGGTGATGGCAATATGTACAGACACATCTGGGACACAAAGGGGATAATTAAGCTGAGAGCATGGAGTCTGGTCAAATGGAGCCGAGATTTAATTACTGTGCTCCTTGTCGGGTATCGGCCCGATCTGATGTTAACTTAACGCAATACTAACCGCCGCCGATCGATTACGATCGCATATCCAAGGTTCGAGGTCTGAATATACGCAAGTAAACGCGTGAAAGAACGAACTCAAGTCCCGTGCAAAGTTTCTAACTATCAAAAATATTTAATTCTGATGTATAACATGTATTACAATTGTCGTGTCTCATTGAGGTCTCACATCAATTCTCTCGAATAACGTTACCCACCTAGCTTACATGCAGGTATACAAGTAATATGATTAAATTAAATTACCGGTCGCTCCTCGACCGTCTGAACCAAACTTAATTGAATTAGAGGTCACTTGGCCACCTCCACATCCTTCTAGGCAGTGACTGATCAAACTGGCTTCGATTAAACAATGACAATAAACTTCATGAACAAGATTCTGCCTACACTCTTACGAAAGTTCTAAAACTACATTAAGACATTTAGGGGTCCCTGACACCCTGTAAGGATGACGTGTGGGGAGGCATGTGAGAGGCGGAAAGACCATTGTAGGATTAAGCGGTCTTTCTTTCATGTAGGGTCTGCCATATTTGAGCCTTGGACCATTCTATTCTGAATGGCCCCTAACTTCATGCTCCAGATGCTCAACTTGCATTAAGTAACATAGACAGAGATGTACACTACTCAGGACCTAGGTGTGGAATCACCCCCACTGACAAATACAAAGGGTGCGTCTGGCAAGGAACGAGTTCTTTTAAATTGCTCCAAATATCACAGGTTCCTTTTCAAAATTTTTATAACAGACTACTAGGGCACACTATACAGTACCATGTGAGTAGCTAGTACCATGTGTGAATCTGAATGCACTTTAAACTGCTGAAGAGATTACTTCAGGGCCCATGCACTTCATGTTTTACAGAGGTTTATAGACACCCAAGTTAATGCTTGAACTTTGTTCTATGATCATTAACACATCATGTGATGATCAATAATTTAAACTTCCACTGGGGACTACTGAATCACACTATATTTAGAGACAATAAACTTTTTGCATTCCCAAATGTGAGCACCAATATGTACAGCATCGTAATATAGATAGCATGACCAGCCCTGACACCACAAACACAAGATAATGTATTTCCCATGACAAGGCACTAATCTATATAACTTATCTCTTTCAGGAGGTAAATATCCTGTAAGTTGAAGGACTCTGGTCGGACTTTAACAAAAGTCACAAAGAGGAACCTCTGCCAGATTTTTCATCAATTGGGAACAGCCTAACTTTGAGAGAACATGCTGGCTGGCTATAGCGGGAATTAATCTTACTACAAATTTTTACTTGGATTCATCTTGCAACCAATGACTGCCCAGTCACTAATTAGGATTAAATATATATACCTGTAGCACTAATGATATATATCCCTCAATGAACTTTACAAGGTGAGGCAATTTCTCAGAATTCAACCCATTTGTGCTGACAAGGTGAACTAGAATTACTGGGTTTGTTCAAGAGTGAGCATTCATTAGTACCTGTCAAGAAATATTTACGGGCGGAGCACCTGGCATCTTGTAGAGCTGAGCAGCCAAGGACTTGTAAACTTTGTTACACTGGAGATTCATAGGCAGAGAAAGGGAGAGATTCTAAACATTATTTCATAGTAGATAAACCAGCTGTAAAGTAGATAACAAACCTTGTCATCTTTAATTCTTACTGATCTCATCTTGTATATTATCAACTCCAGTCATCCAAATAAGTGAAGTTTAAGGACCAGAAGAATTGATGTATTTTGACAAGATTACACTGGGTTTAACAGATCTGCAAGAGGAAACTGCTTTTTCCAAGAAACTTTAATGATCCTAGCAGCAATTATAATTCACATCAGACCAGATCCATTTCTCATCCAAGTCTCTGTGGAAATGACATCTTCTGCGCCTTCTCTCAGAGGATTTACTGTCTAATTCACAGCTTCCTTCAGGTATCACAGGGTATAATCTAGTTGCAGTATTACCCTCAGTACTGTTATATCATCCATATCTAGTGCAATAACACTGTTATCAGTTTAGAAGTTTGGAACAGTGTTTCCAGTTTAATAACAACAAGTTGCATTGCAGAGAAGTGGCACTAAAAAGCAAAAACAACTGAGATGACAACCCAAATGATGTATGATGAAAATGACACAATAATCAGCAGCAACACAACAGTTGCAACAAACAGTGTGACATACAGCGAGTATAAAAATTTCTACGAGAATGCTAAATTTGCGTCAACAGTTATCTGTTTTCCCATAGTATGTGCAGTAGGGATTGTTGGCAACATTCTCATTTTGTTTATTTTGCCAAGAAGGTGCATGAGATCTTCTAACACCTGTTACCTTATTGGCATAGCAGCAGCAGACCTGGTTCTCTTGGTTGTTCAAGTACCGCATCTTATTGGAGGAATAGCCTCTGTCAAGGAGGACAGAGGTTTCATTACTTTTAACTCATATTATCAGCTAGCAAGGTAAGTTTAAAATTGCTTCTTTTGTCAAAAATGAATGAAAAACACCTAAAATGAACCTGGTTTAAAGTGTCATCAAAGTTGCAAATCAATAAGGACTAAACCCTTAATTGTAAATTAATACCAAACACTTGATTTACAGTTGTGCACACAAAATTTAAGCAATATGGAGTTAAAGAAATAATTTCATTTCCATTGCCATAAAAAACTGAAAGTGAATCTGGTTGTACAAATTTGGAAAAAGACCTGTGATTACCAATTTTCTCCTGATCCTTCCCATCATTTACCAAACAAACAACTGTGCATATCAATGTTTGTCTTCTTCAGTGTTAACATTATATTTACTCTGTATCATAGATACTGTGCATAGGTCATTCTGTAGTGTCACATGTGACATGAATCCCGTCTCTAAAGAGAGGACAATGACACAGAATAACAGTGCAACTAAAGCAAACCATGAATATCTTTTAATTAATCTAACCTGAACTAACATACCTTCTGTAAATCTTTGAAGCAAGCCACTTACCAAAATAATTTTCATTATCTTACAAAATGATGTTTAATTTTGTTACTTTTTTTACGTGTGGGCTAAAATCTATTTGACAACTGTGTCCTCATGTTGAGAAAATATGAACAGAAAATGTCATAAATTTGGCAAAAGGGGTTTTATTTTTAACACCTTTTTGCAATCATATTGGATATAAAAACGGACATAAACAGGATGTTGACTGGTGTTACAGAAATCTTATCTCCTCAAAATACTTGGAGATAAACAATGTAAATAGCTTATATTATAACATTATAAAACTCATTCTCTACCATTCTTTTAAAGTAATGATAAATTTAATTTTAGATTTGGGTTTTAAACATAAGATAAGGTTAACTTAAAGAACATTTCAAGTTTTAAGTTTGATTGCACCCATCTATTATGTAGTCCCTCAATAAAGGGTCACCTCATTTCATTTACATATATGATATTCTCTACTGTGAATCAAAAAATAATTTTATAGAAAATTAGGCAATTAAAGACAGATGACCTGTTACTAGTTATTTTTTCATTCACTCCCTAGTTTTTTCATTTATGTGAAAAATGTATAAAATATATTTGATTTTTGGCTTTGCAAAAAAAAAGTTGAGCATATTACTGCGAGTAATTGCCTTCCCTCTTTTCACCTCTCATTATTCTTAACACGCCCTTCAGTTATTAGCTGCTACGTAATTGTATAATGGACTGAAACAGTTCTGGTTGAATCCCACTGCTAATATTCATGGTTTCCTGATGGTTTATCTGTAATGCAATAACCAGAGACAGGATGCAACATCCCTACAGCCTTATCTAACGGACACTTTTACTGTGCTTTACAACGAAAAAAAAAAAATATTATAAAATAAAATAAAGTGAAATATAAGGATATATCAGTAAAATCAGACAACTACTGCTTTTGTTTAATCATACTCATTGTCATTAAAAAAAACAGAGACTAAATTTGAATGTAAAAATGGATTTATTAACCATTGGTAAGCATGGGAAAATTGTTGTTTACCCCAGGAGAATTCTTTTTTTGGTCAAAATGAACAGTTGTTATCCCTTTAAGTTAAAACCCATTGTATAATCAGATAAAGATGTCCTGTCTTGCACTTTCAGATATGGGATCTCTAACATGTGCATCACATGCACAGGCTGGTTGACCATAGCTGTGGCGGTAGAAAGATTCATTGTCATTAAACGGCCACTGAATGTGGGGCAGATCTGCACAGTACCAAGAGCACGGTGGATAACAGCAGGGATTTTTCTAGTTTCAAGTGCTCTGTACATAACAAACTTTTTCGAATTCACACCAAACTCAGCAGCACCGAATGGGCCACTCATGTTGATGACCACCCTGGGCAAAGATGATACTTATAATCAATATATATTTTACATGGATACTCTGGTAGCTGCTTTTATCCCTTTCATTTTGCTCTTCATCTTCAATGCATTACTCATCTACCACCTGATGAGGCACAGGCATGTCCGCAGGTCTCTTTCCTGGCAGTACAAAGTTCAAATGGCCAAACGCAAAAAAGATAAAGACACCCAACATGTTACTCTGGTTGTAATAGCAATCATTGCCATGTTTTTACTCTCTCGGTCACTGGCAATTTACTTAAATATCTTATGTCTTGTCTATGGCAGAACGTATGCTTTTGATACTGGACCACAGCATCATTTAAACATGGGCCTTAAATACATCAGTAATTTGCTGGTTAATACAAATGCCAGTGTGAATTTTATGCTTTACAGCATTATAAGTAGTAAATTTCAAAGAATATTTTTGGAATCTTGTGCATGTGAGAAAAAGAAAAGAGGTTATACATACACCTTTACTGAGAATCCAATTTCCTCAGTCTAAAACAGTTTTTAGTGCTGCATAAGTGATTTATAGTATCAATTCACAAACCATAACTTAAATGTAAATTAAGTCTTTTTCTGAAAGAAAGAATAAACAACAAAACTAATCTCTTGCTCTGAATTAGCAAACTGAAATTTGGCTCAGGAAATTTCTTTCGCATCATCAAGTTTTAAAACTTTTCAACAACAAATAGCAACATTAGATGAAAACTACAGATGTATTTGTTATAAAGTCTTCTAATCATAAAAAACAGACATTTTGATAATATTTAATGTATTTTAATATTCACAATACTTAAAACTCTGTGTAAGTTAATATAACTAGCTGAAACAGTTAAGCTTGTCATTAGATGTGGTTGTGTCTAGTTATTCATTATATTAAAAACCTCCATGTTGTGATGTCAAGGTTTTTCTAAATATCCACCTGGAAGAAGTCCTAGAAATTTTAAACAATTTCAAATTCAATATGGCAACTTATTCCAGATGTTGTTGCATAGAAAAAGTGCTTTCCTCATTGTTTGTGCATGACTTATAATCATTTATTAAGGTGCCTATGATCAGATATTTTTCATCCATAATGTAAAATTAATTGCTCTGATATCTGTGTACTTAGAGATAATGGAGTCTGACTTATCTCTGTGGAGTGAAGATTAAATATAAATCTTGGTAATGACATAACAAATATATTATGCCATACAAAGACTGGTTGAAGAATTTAAGCAACACGTTTACTTTAATGGAGTAGCATTCCGATTCAGATAAATGTTCAAACTATTATATTTTGTATTAAAAGAGTGTAACATTGTGAGAGTTGACAACAAAGGTATTGACTATAGTCAGTATAAGATAAATAATAAATAATGTTCTGGTGAAAATGGACATCAGTTATGTGTTTTAATAAATTTTGTTAAAGAATGACAAATCACAGAATATAAAACTAGCACTGCAAAACTATATTTGATGTTCACTATATTTTGTGTAACTTTAATGTATTTGCTTGAAGAACTGTTATAAGGTATCAATATATTATATGTCACAGTAAAAAAATGTTGTGGGAACTGTTCTTGTGTATATGCTAGACAAGTATGAGATGTAGAATGTAAAAAATAACTAAGTAAATTCATAGTTATATGAAGCTGCTACTTATTCTTGTTTCTTACTTGTTTATCAGCTTATATGACATTACTCCTACACCCCATTCTCATAGATTAGATCGACCTACATTGGATCGACCTAACTCCCTGGGGGTTCACGCTAAATAGCTGTCAGCCAGGCGGACACGAAAGTTAATTACCCCTTAAAGCTTGTAGTAGGCGGGGACGGACACTTAAGGGGGATTATCTGACAGTAATGTAGTGAGACTCCCCGCGGTGATAGATCGATCTAAAAGTTGTGAGAACAGAGCCCTAGATTAAGTCTTAAATTGCTGCACAATATTTTTCTGTATCTTTCAAGTATAAACCATTAGGCTAAGTTTGATATTACACAGCAAAGTGGTCAAATATACAGACACTTTACAGAAAAAAAGCCATTCCCATCGCTCCATTTTAACATAAACATATGCATGTGCCAGTAAACGATGACTTTTGTGAATATCATTACATCTTCGCAATTTTTGAAATAAACTAAATGTTTTAATTTTTTTAATTCTGTTCACTGGGTATTAGCTGTGATGAGACTTGCCTTTTCTAGAATTTTTCTTGATAATTTGGAATGTTTGCAGGATTTGAGTATCAGGAAAATATCTTTTAAACAGATTTTCGATGAACTAATCTTGCATTTTAACCATCATAACAATTCAAAAACAATATCTAACCTTAAACATAAAACTTCACCTTTTCATATAAAAATATTCATAAAAATATATTTGTAACTAGAGGATCAGAGAGGCGATACCACCTCCGAATATTGTACCACCAGCTGGAGTAAGCGCGATCGTATAGACCCCCACACACACAAAAAAGGGACACCACCACCAGTCTATTGCTTGACAAGCTGTAAAAAATGCAATCAACAAGAATTCTCAAAATATGCAAACAAATTCATAACTAAAAAAGGTACAATCAAAGTTCAGTTCATAGTAAGGTAGGTCAAAGGTCAATTTCAAGGTCACAGTAAATTTCCAGTATATGACTTCCTATTCAAGTTCAATAGCAACTATGGACTATCTCTGCCAGTTTTGGAGATAAAAGGGAACCAAAATTTGTAAACTTCAATTCATGATAAAAAGTATGTCAAAGGTCAATTTCAAGGTCACACTTAGATTGCCAGTATATGACTTCCTATTCAAATTCAATAGTAACTGTGGGCGTATCTTTGCCAGTTTTGGAGATAAAAGGGAACCAAAATTTGCAAAGTTAAGTTCATGGTAAAAAGTAGGTCAAAGGTCAATTTTAAGGTCACATTTAGATTGCCAGTATATGACTTCCTATTCAACTTCAATAGTAACTATGGACCTATCTCTGCCAGTTTTGGAGATAAAAGGGAAGCAAAATTTGCAAAGTTCAGTTCATGGTGAAAAGTAGGTCAAAGGTCAATTTCAAGGTCATAGTAAGATTGCCAGTATATGACTTCCTATTCAACTTCAATAGTAACTATGGACCTATCTCTGCCAGTTTTGGAGATATAAGGGACTAAATGTTATAATTTTGGAGTTACCATAATGTGCCTTAAATTTCGTACAGAAAAAATTAATTAAAATAAAGAAAATGTCATTTTGGTCAAAATTCTTGAAATAGGAGGTGCTCTGAAGTTTCAGAAGTTCAAATTTGATGAAATAATGTCATTTTTGAACACAAGTTGTCTGCTTTGCCAAGCCTTATGTTTTATTTTTCCAGAGTTCAAAATTTATTATCCATTACCGTACTGCACATTTTGCTTTTACCACCAATATGTACTTTTTGATACAGCGTAACTCGAAAACCGTATGGAATACAAAAAAACGGAGACCACCTCCAGTGTTGGGCTTTACATGCTCTACAAAATGCAAAAAAGAATGGGTCTCTAGCATTAACGGTTCCCGAATTAGAGACAGTTTTCAGTTTCGGTATCTTATGGCCGCTACTCCCGTGAAAATGCACCTATTGACCCCAAATTCATGGAGATGAAAGATGACCCAAAGGGTAACACTTTCCAATAATATTATTGGTTAAGTCTGTGTGGTGTCTGAATAACATGGCAAATAATTTTTTTTTTGTGAAAAATTTCGTCTTTTTGAAAATTTTGGCCCGTTTGACCTTGAAATAAAGGTCAAAGGTCAAATCCAAGGGCATATTTGAAATCTACACATATGACTTTTGGAAAGCCCTCTGTAGAAATTTTCCCCATAATTCCTTCCGTAGGGAAGATAATTAGCATTTAATTTTGCCATTTTTGGACAAGGGTGCATTGCAATGAGTGCCACACCTAGACCCCAATACCGACAAAGCCCAAATTTTACTTGGAACGAGTTGAGATTATAGGTGACCTAAATCCAAGAGATGGGTACGGAGGCCCTTACCGTCTAGGAGGAGAAGCGGTAACGGTAGCCGGCGGAGCCGGCGGAACGATCCGGACGGGACTAAAACCATGTGTACCGCCAGCGCTAATGCTGGTGGTACAATAAATACATCTAATATATGAACAAACAAATTGGACATGAAAAAATGAAATAAAAACAAGCTATTGGCATATATTTTATTGGTAGGGATCGAAACATGAAGCCAACAGCCATGCAGTTAATTATCTTGTAACTTAATCTAATTTTATAGTCTCTGCAGTATATTTTTTTCTTATTTTTTTCATGTGCCCTGCCCTTTCCTAATGCAGCTCAGACAGCATGTGTCAATGATCTTTTTTTTTTACTTCAAGGATAGGGTTGGGGAATGTAAAATAACAAAGTGCTTTTGCATATTATTTTTTTCGAAGAATTTTGTCTTTTTTTATTTCTTTCAGCCTTTTTGAAGGAAAAAATGTTTATGTAAGAAAATGTTATACTAAACTACATTATGAAAAACCTCTTTTGATCAATTATCTATAGCTCACTAAAATACCAAACTTGCAACTGGTAGTTTTATACAGAGTGTAAAAAGATGTGTGGCTTAGGAAATATTGATCTTACTCACTGGCAGACAATCTTATTAGATCAAATATCTCATCCATTACCAATTGGTGAAAAAAATATCATCTATGCTAAAGTAGTCTTTCTCTATAGGCTGGATATTTCAAGAAGGATATAGCACAGAAATACGTACATTGTAAGTGTAGTTTAGACCAATGAACCAAATGAACAAGAGACAACCACATCGGGTGCATTCCCAAAACCACCATGAGTCTATGCGGATCGACCCAAATCTGCAGGTATTTTCACTGAGTGCAAGCAGCTTAACAGATTAACATGCCTCCTCCTGGCATTAAGTCAAATACAGAAAAGTGTGTGACTTTATGAGTATGTTGGAAACAAAAAGAAGCTTGTCATTCAATTAGGCTGATTAAACTTAGCTAGAGACCCCACAGAGTTGGAGCGATCCACATAAACCAATAGTGTCTTTATGGGAATGGGGTCTTACTGAGCAGCATCTCAATTGCTAAAAGGATCAATTCCAGCAAATATCTTTTGGCCACAAAATCAGTAAATGGTTAAAACATCTCTAATCTAATTGCCATTCCCCTTATCATACTTACATGCCCACAGTAACATCCACAGCAGTTAAAAGTAATATTACTCAGTAACATAGGACATTCATTGCAGGTTCTTGAGCACGTTTTAAAACAAGGCAGCTAAAACTGAAATATGTACAGACAACCTATGTCAGTTTAAACAGGACTGACAAAAGAAAACACCAATATATAAACAGCAATGTATTAACAGAATTACCCTTTGGTGGATGCGGTGTCCACATAGGTAAAGTGATTTTTAAAATCTAGACACTGAAGGTGGCACATATACAATGAAGTCATAAAACACAGAAATTTGAAGAAAAAGAATGTCTAGGCAAAGTAGATGGTGAATGTTTTAAATTTTTTTCTAAACTTTGAGCAACTTGTACCCAAAAAACAGGTAAGTATAAAAACTAAAACAGAAATACATTTAACAGAAATGGCTGGAAATATTACAAAAACTTTTGCAAGTTTTGCAAACTTCCCAAAATATTTAAACCTAGCAAAAATGTTTAGCAAAATGGCAACATTGCTTCCCAGTTCTTATAGTAACAAGAAATATCCACAACTCTAGCAATACAGACAGACTTGGGTGATGGCACTACTGTCTATACATGAACAAGGCAGCAAAGTTAACAAATATACTAACATCAAGCAGAAAATAAAGATGCCAGTGCAAAACATAATATAACATAATGCTTAACAGCACAATCACTGCCAATATTGGGTACTGTACCACTGTTAGGGTGAAAATTTGGAAAATGTTAATTGGGATTCAAGTCCTTAGGAGTTCGAAATCATACCTTGAAAATGCATTAAAGTAAAAAGTGCCTGACTATGATGACAGACACAGGTGATGGCTATATGTATAGACGCACTTTGTCTGTACATAAAAAAGTTTTTTCACAGACCAAAATGAACATTCATGTATCTCTAGTTTGAACCTGTGCCACATATTGTTCAGCTATATAATGCCAATTGGTTTAGCTGTTTTCAAATTCCTATATACTAATTGTATGCCAAGTTGTGCATATGTATATATGTATACACAAGATATCAGTGAAAACAAAAAATGTGCACAAACATAGAGGAATTAATGAGTTGAAAAGTACTGGCGTGGAGGTTGATGGGCACGTAACAAGTTAGTATGCTGGAACCCTTTGCTATCTCAGGAGGTTTTCTGGCATATATCCGCAGTTACCATATTCAATTACTAAACTTAGTCAAGATCACTAGTGGAAAATCACTGCTGTGATTGATACTTCCCTGTTACAAATGACGGTCTGCCATAGGCTCTCTAACCAATCATACTGATTGCATCAATAACAAAATGACGGCTAATCTGAAACAATCTAAAGCTATGAAAGAAAAGGAATAACAGTTATCATGCAAAATTGCAATTCTATAGAGTAGCTTGCAAATAAGTGGCAAGAGAAGACACATCTGGTAATCAGTACTAGTGCCATTTTGTCAAGTTGGGCAGCAATTAGATGTTCAAAGATCAAAACGTTCTTGT